AAAAAAAAAAAAAAAAAAAAAAACTCTGATTTTATTTATAAAATTTATGTATATTTTAAGGAAGGTGAAAAACTTACCATAAAAGAAAAAGAAAAAGAAACCAATTCGAATCGTGTTTGAACTTTCAATTTTGTATTAAATAAATTTTTGATAGAGTCGAGGCGTTTTTTAAAAAAAATTAACAGACTAATTAAAATTTTTTATTTGATAAATAATTATAAAAAAATGGATTAAATTTATAATTATAATTATTTAAGGGATTAAAATTATTTATTTATTTAATTATTTATTTATTTTTAATTCCGTGTAGAGCAATAAGGCCCACAAAGGCAGTGTGACGAAGAAAGGTTGTCTGGAAGTGAGTAACAAGATACGAAATATAAGAGAGAGAGAGAGGGAGGAAGAGAGAGAAAGATGTTCAGGCTGCCCTCACGCACCATACGGTGTCGTTTTGTGGCTGTGGATTGGGTCCACCGACCTGTACCCCTTACCCCCCTCCCCCTCTTTCTCTCTCCTCCTTTCTCTCTCCTCAATTAATTTCCAGTTTGTACTTTTATTCATGGCAGCCTAAATTTTAGAGTTAAAATCTGAATCACTAAGGGAATAAAAATCAGAACCCAAAAATAATAATAATAATAATAATTCCTTTATTTATTTATTTATTTATTTATTTATTTATTTAAAATTTGTATATGTGCTTGTGTGTGTGCATGACACCAAATGAAAACATCACTTACTTACTTACTCCAAACCATATTTTTCCATTTTAAAAAATTCACAAATTTGTTTAGAGAGAGAAAGTTTAGAGAGAGAAAGTTTAGAGAGAGAGAGAGAGAGAGAGAGAGAGAAACTAAAAAGGGCATCTAATGTGTTCATAGATGAAGTTGATTCCTCTATCTTTCTCTTCTTCTTCATCTTCTTCTTCTTCCATTTGCATCTCCAAATCCAAACCCTTTTGCTTATGAAAACCATATTTTGATTCTTATTATTCTCCAAATCAAACCCTTTTAACCCTTTTCATGGCGGCTTCTTCTTCATCCGTTCCACTTTTCGGACCTCGGGATGAAGCCCAGATGAGACAACAACAGCAGCAGCAACAACAACAACTACAGCAATCTAATTCTTCGGGTGTGCCGCCACCGAAGAAAAAGAGGAACCAACCAGGAACACCAAGTAAGTGTCTAAAATTTTATTGATTACCCACCAGAGATGAGATTAAATTTGGATTTGCTTTTGGTTTTTTGTTTCAGATCCAGATGCGGAGGTGATTGCTTTGAGTCCAAAGACACTAATGGCAACCAATAGATTCATATGTGAAGTATGCAACAAAGGGTTTCAAAGAGAGCAAAATCTACAACTTCATAGAAGAGGACACAATTTGCCTTGGAAGTTAAAGCAAAAAAGCAACAAAGAGCCAAAAAGGAAGGTGTATTTATGCCCAGAACCCACATGCGTCCATCACGACCCATCAAGAGCTCTTGGTGACTTAACAGGTATCAAAAAACACTACTCCAGAAAGCATGGGGAGAAGAAATGGAAGTGCGATAAGTGCTCTAAACGCTATGCCGTTCAGTCCGATTGGAAGGCCCATTCCAAAACCTGTGGTACTCGCGAGTATCGCTGCGATTGTGGCACGCTTTTCTCCAGGTTCTTCATTTTTTTTTTTTTTTTTTTTTTTTTTTTTTTTTTCTCTCTTNGATTTCAGGAATTTCATGTTTTTTTGTTTGTTGTTTCCATGTGTTTTTTTTTTTAATTAAATTAAATTAAATTATTATTCCCTTTTCTTCTCTCTCTTTTTTTTAAAAAAAAAAAAAAAAAAAATCTTTGTTCTTTCTCCCTTTTTGCATTTATTGGACACTCAGTTCTTCAAATTCCATTTTTTAATGCAATTATAGGAAGTAATTCTTCAAATTCTTGTGTTTTTTTTTCAATTATTTCATGTGTGTTCTTATCAATCCGTGAACCCTTTTAAATGGACCCACGAAATTTTCTAACTTTTCATCCAATGTTATAAAACGACACGAATTTCTTTCTACTAGCTAAATTTCGTGTTTAGATTTGGATTATATGCTAAATTTTGTGTTTTGGTTTGATTGTTTGTTGCAGGCGGGATAGTTTTATTACACATAGAGCGTTTTGTGATGCATTGGCACAAGAAAGTGCAAGACATCCTACAAATTTAGGGTCAGCAATGGGAGGTCATTTATATGGAGGTAATAGCAATGTGGGGTTAACATTATCACAAGTTCCTCAAATTTCATCTCTTCAAGATATTCCCAATATAACCCAATCGGACGTCCTCCGCCTTGGTGGCGGAGGACGAACCGGGCAGTTCAATCATCTTCTTCCTCCGTCTATCGGCTCGTCATTTCGACCACCACCGCAACAGGCAATGCCGTCTTCGGCTGCGGCTGCGGCCTTCTTCTTGAATGATCAAACTAGCCAGAATAGCTTCCATGAGGATCATGGAAGTCAATCTCAACAAGGGTTGTTTGGAAACAAGGCGTTTCATGGATTAATGCAATTTTCTGATATGCAAAGCCATACGAGTAATAGTAACAACCCTTCCTCAAATCTCTTCAATTTGGGGTTCATTTCGAACCCTACTGGTGATAGTACAACGAATATGAACAACAACAACACCAACAACAGTAATAATACGAGTAATAGCAACAACAACAGCAACAGCAACAGCAACAACAACAATCTGCAATCGTCTTTGCTTAATCAATTCAGTGGCACGAACAATGGAAACAATGAAGGTGGTGCATCAAACATTTTCTCGATGATGGGCGATCAAATGAATTCAGGTGCAGTCCCGTCTCTCTATAGCAACACGACGGGAGTCGGCGGTAGTGGTACAAGCGGAGCAATTCCACACATGTCAGCCACGGCGCTTCTCCAAAAGGCAGCTCAATTAGGCTCAACGACATCAAGTAGCAACACAACAGCGACATTGCTAAGATCATTTGGAAGCTCGTCAACTTCAGGTGGAAAAGCATCCGACAGGACACTTTTCCCACCAAGCTACGGCGGAGTATTCGGCGAAAATGAGAGCAATCTTCAAGATCTGATGAACTCATTCACCACCGGAAGCTCAGCAGGCGGGCTCTTCGGTGGCGGAATGAGCTCATTCGGTACATTCGATGGCGGAAACAATAGACCAAACAACATGGAAACATTGGAAGATCCAAAATTACAACAGAATCTAAGCTCAGTTAGCATGGGAGGAACAGATAGATTAACAAGAGACTTCCTAGGTGTTGGACAAATTGTAAGAAGTATGAGTAGCGGAGGAGGCGGCGGTGGCAGCGGCGGCGGTTATTCCCAACGAGAACATAAACAACCACCGCAAGGGATCGTTATGGATGGAAATGAGAGCAATTCAGCTGCAACAAGCCAAGCATTTGGTGGTGGAGGAAATGGAAACTACCAGTGAAGAAGAAGAAGAACAAAGTACAGACAGAAACAGGTACGTACATGAAAATAAAAATTTTAAATTATTAATTTTTATTTTTATTTAACTGCAAAAGTAACGTGGAGGGCTTTGGTAATTGTGTCTTTTTTTAAAAAATAAAAATAAAAATTACTAATTTACTGTTACTGCCTTGCAGTCGTGGGGATTTGGATTTGGATTTATTTTATTATTTTTTATTATATTTAATTAAAAAAAAAAAGGGTTTTATTCCGTCTGGCACGTTATGTTGCATGAAGACAGTGAAGAGCATGCAGTACATTTAGGGTTTTTTGTTTCATTCGTTGTCGTTTTTGTTCTCTTTATGTCGTTACGTCTTTATACTGCACAACACACAGAGAGTCACGAGTTCCATTTCTTCCATTCTTTCATACTTTATTATAAAAAAAATATATGCATTAAAACCTTATAATATAATTATATTTTGTTACTTTTTCATATATTATAATTAATATGCTTATTATAATATGCTTATCAGATATTATAAATGCAACAAATCTCTCCAAGCTACCAAGCTGCTTAAGTTCAGTGATCTCCACAAATATCAGGTAGTTTTTTTTTTTTTTAATGTAATTTTAGCATGAGAGGAAGGACAAGCAGATTAGCCTTTTTTTTTTTTTTTTTTTGAATTAAAGTGTATTAATTCCATATCTTTTCTGGGCGACCAATGGGATTTTTTTTTTTTTTTTTTTTTTTTTATAATGAATTTTTGGTCTATCTAGCTAGGCTAGGCTAAATCTCCTCTCCTTATATAGCTTCATAGACATTTGCGAACTCGATCGGTTTCTTTTAGTTGAATGTAGAAAAGAAAAATTCGAGTGTTCGTTCATTGGTTCTTTATGTTGAATTATGGTGGTGTTAATTTTGTTATGATATGTTTAGGGAAGGAGGGTTTCGATTTCGATTTCGATTTTGAAGCATGCGTGTATTATGAGTTGAGGTGGAGATCTAAGTTTAATTTGGTGATATATTTGTTTGTTCTTTCTTATGTTTGTTAATTATTGTCGTTTTTGTTAGGAAGATGGGAGAATCTTGATGTTTGAAATGATAATTATATGTTTAGAGCTTAATAGGTTGTGGGTATGTCATATGTATGTTGTGGGTATGACATATCGGGAATATTTTAAACCTAGGTTTTGAAATTCTTTTATTAGGATTCGGAATCTTGATTCAATACTTTAGTGTCGATATTCCCGTGCACTCATGTGACATTGTCACAGTAATTTAGTAAAGAATTACTAAAGAAAACTATAAAGACCCATGCCCACGGTTCAGATTCGGATTTGAAATCTGAATTTAATGCCTAATAGGTTCAACATTCCTCTGTATCCCTAACATGGTCGAAGGGGATTGGAATTTTGTAATTTAGTAAAGAAGCACTCAAGAAAGGTATATCGAGTCATGTCCACGATTCGGAATCTTGATTCGTTATGTAATAGTCTCGACATGCTCTTGCATCCCCTGCGATATGATCACAGGGGATTAGAATTCTGTAATTTAGTAAAGTACCCAAGAAAACTGTAACGACCCATACCCACGATTCAGATTAAGATTCAGAATCTGGATTTAATGCCTAATAGCTTCAACATTCTCCTGCATCCCTGTCGATATGGTCATAGGGTATTAGAATTTTGTAATTTAGTAAAGCACCCAAGAAAGATGAAACTACCCATGCCCATGATTTGGAATCTTAATTTAATACTTAATAGCCTCGACTTACTCTTGCATCCCTGCGACATGATCACAGGAGATTAGAAGTCTGTAATTTAGTAAAGAAATACCTTTGAAAACTGTAACGACCCATACCCACGATTCATATTAGGATTCGGAATCTTACTTTAATACCTAATAGCTTCAACATTTCCCAACATCTCCTGCGATATAGTCATGTTACCTACATCTCATTTCTTAACAGTGAAGACTATTCTCACATACCAACATAAACTATTCCGAGATATTTTGTCATCACTCACATGTATCCTAAGAAATTTCTCAAAAGGTCACCCAATGTAAGATTGTTTCAAGTAAAGCACGTTTAACTATGAAATTTCTACGATTAAGCAATCAAAAAAGTAATGCGCATTAGGTAATAACTTTCATTTCCTTTAAATTTTTCTTATTCAAACATGATCTCGATTCAGCTAACTCCAAAATGTTTGAGACGCGTAATATTCCAACCCATTTCACTATATTCCATTTGAAACGCTTACACATGCATGCAGTGTAACTGTTCTTATTCTTTCACTATTTGTTTTTACTGTTCAATTAAATTATACTTATATTATCAAAATTCCATAAATAACCTTCCATTTTTTGTTTCTTAAAACTTATTCTTAAATCACATGGTTGGTATTTCCATGGACAAATCTGTAATTTTGACAAGAAAATATTAATCATGCATATATTAAATAAATAAATAAATAAAAAAAAGAGAAAATATAATTAGTTGAAAACAAAATTGGCTGTAAAGGCATCCTTAATTACAGAATTCCAAGTTAAAAAAAAAGTGTTTACCATAAATGCATGCATGGGAAAGAAGAAGTCAGAGACATGAGAATATTTACAAAAATGCATTTCCCAATAATCAATTCCTTTCCTCATATAATATAAATATAATATCATATAATAAAAATATAATATCATATATATTCGTAGTAACGCTCATTTCTGTCCACCATATGTTTAATGGCCAATAAATTATAACCAAACAAAAATACAGTAAGAATATAGAATATTTGGTAACAAAATAACATTTTTCCTTTTATTTTTTAATTTTATAAATAATAATAATAATAATAATAATAATAATAATTGTCTCTGCATTTCAGTATACTTTGCAGTCAGACGAGTATGAGGGTTAGGTATTAGGTTGTCCACCCCCTCCAATTTTTTTTATTTATTTTTTTAAATAATAAATATATATTTATTTATTTATTTGGCAATTGGCCAATTAAATAATTATGGAATTAATTTAATAATGTTAGAGGCTTTGTCTTTGCTGTTGGAATTTAGTATCCACGTGAAGATTCTCATGCACTGCCCCATCGTCCTTTATTTATTTATTGATTTTTAATTTTTCTATAAATCTAAAATAAATTAATATTATATTAATATATTTGGATATAGACATGCATGTATTTTTCATTATTTATTTATTTTTAATTTAAAAAGAGTGGTTGGGCATGGATGTTTCTGAAAACAAAGTTTATGTCACAAAGAATATTAGTGTTACGTATGGTTTATTATTTTCTTTTTTTATGAAATTTTTTGACATTTTTCATTTTTTGGGAAATTAATAAACCTACTTCCAATTTTGTTTCTTCAACTCTTTACTAATTTTGTTATTTATTTATTTATTTATTTAATAATGATTTTTCTTTTGAAAAATAAAGAATCTTTTTCATAATTCTTTTGTTTTTTTTTAATTAAAATTTTAATACTTTCATATTTGGAAGATTTTTCTTACCATAATATCCTTTATGAATATTCTCTCCCTCCATATTTATTGTGCTAATTCTTTTTCCTTTTACACTTATTTCATTTAAGTTAATTTTTATTTTTGTTTATTGTATTATTTAATTTTAAAAACTTTATAATTCAATCTTAATATTATTTATTTTTGGTTAAATTATAAAGAGTTTGGATTGTTTTTGTATCTATTTTATCCTTAAACTTTCAAAAGTTTTAATGTTTCGTGACTATCCTATTTTTCTATTAAGAATAAAGTTGTTATTGTATGCACGACATGATTGAATCATGTCAGGTTGAAAATATTAATTTAAAATATTTCATAAATGCGACTACTCTAACTTTAGTTTTATGACCTTCATTCGTATATGAGTACGGTACCTTTACCTAAAAAATAAGAGTAGGACATGCTTGAGTAGTTTAAGAAATACTCGGTAAGTAATCCCACTATTGGATTCGAAAAATGCAAACAAATGCAATATGGTAGGACTTACCAATACATAGCTCACTCACACACACATCCTAGTAATTGAACCCTGCCTGACTAACAAACGACACATATATAAATGAATGTGTAAACCCTGAATCAAATAAACCTAGGGCAAGATGCCCAAAAACAGACAAGGTACCTATCACCACTATGTCAAAGTTTTCAACGTCTCTATTGGTGGAAGCGTAGAGACAACTACAGGTTGGGCATTTTATCGGCCAACATAAACAGGTTGTGTATTTTCTTGAGCAACTTCAATATGGGTTCTTCATCATTCGTGAACATGAGATTTACCTCCTCATCGCGCTCCTTGTTGTGGCACTCTGCCATATAATGTCCGTATTTTCCACAAGAGTAACACTTGATCATACTCTTGTCCTTATAGGGGTTGACATTGTCATGGATTTGTGAAGTATTGGCACCTCTACTGCCAAATTCACGACCTCTGTGTTCCTCTTTATGGCTGTCACATCCAGTCATACTTGAAAAAGAAGAGTCAACTACATAATTTTTTTTGTTCGTGTGAGTTACTCCTCATATGTGAGTAAGAGCTATTTCTCCTCATTTTTGTCTTTGTAGCCATGAAGTCTCTCTTCATGAACATTAAGACTACCAATGACCTCCTCAACTGATATGTTCTTGAGGTCATCAAATTGCTCGATGAAGGTAACAATTTGCATGAATCTCGGGAGAATAGCTCGAAGGAACTTTTTGACAGCGAAAATCTCCTCCACCTTATTGCCTAACGAATGGATGTCGTTGACGATCATCGTCATTCATGACAAAGTCATCTATTGAATCACCGTACTTCATGCGGATAGTCTCGAACTCACTCTACAAGGTCTACACCTTTGCTTCCTTGAAACGTTCCACACCCACATGCATTGTTTGCAGCGTCTCCCACGCTTCTTTTACCAAGTCCTTCTCTCCCAACATGAGAAGAACGTCCTTCGGGACTGCTTGGTAAATAGTGACAAGAGTAATCCTATCCTTACACTCCTCAACGTTGTCACCATGCTCGAGGGTGTCTCATATGCATTGTGCCTATAAATTAACACACATCTTTATCAACCATCTTTCACAGTTATTCTTCATGATTAATAGGTACTGGAGCATTACATTCTCCTCCTTTCCACAACTTATTATTGCCACATCTCCTCTGGTGACTTTGTATGGTGACAAAATTTGTTTCGACATCCTATCTCTGATATCAAATGTTGGATATACCCCACGATCAAAATATGTCGAAAAACCGTTGAAGTAGAAAGAACAACTAGAGGAAGAGATCTTTTGAATAAAAGAACATTAAACATTTATACTTTTCAATTCTCTTTGTTGTTGTGAATAGAGCATACATCTTAAGAGTATTTAGTGCAGAGAAAACATTAACAAATTTTCTAAACTTAGGTAGGTGAATAACTACTTGACATTATCCTATAATTGCTCTAAGTTAATAACTTCTCAACCTTATTACCTCACATTCAAGTCTCTTACCAAGTTTACAAACTCTTGCCAAGTTTACAAACTCTGGACCTTTTTCTAACTCCATAGAAGTCCCTTCTGAAGACCGGATTATGAAATCGTGAAACCAACCTTAACTTATTCTTACCTTCAATAGTAACTCAAGTGCCTCAAAGTTTTTATATCGTTCGCATTGCTATCAAGTCT